TGGGAGGCTGAGGCAGGAGAATGGCGTAAACCCGGGAGGCGGAGCTTGCAGTGAGCTGAGATCCGGCCACTGCACTCCAGCCTGGGCGACAGAGCCAGACTCAGTCTCCAAAAAAATAAATAAATAAATAAATAAATTGACTCTCTCTGGACCACTATCTAATAAGGCTTTCCTGCATTGCTGACATCCTGTTTGATGTCAGTCTGAAGGACCCTTGTGATTCTTGGGGCTTTAATGCACCATTTGTTCTGTCTGTGCTCTTCTTTGCCAGCAACAGCTATCATTCAGGTTGAAGATCAGAATACAGGTGCAATTGAAAACATTATAGTTGAAGTAAAAAAAGAGCCAGATGCTGAGCCCGCAGAGGGAGAGGAAGAGGAGCCCCAGCCAGCTGCCACAGACGCCCCCAACGGAGACCTCACGCCCGAGATGATCCTCAGCATGATGGACCGGTGATGGCGGAGCCTTGTGTGTCGCCAGGACTGCTCTGGGCTGTGTTTAAACGGCCCGCATCTTAATTTTTCTCCCTTCTTTCTTTTTTTGGCTTTGGGAAAAGCATCATTTTACCAAACATACCAAGAACGAAAACTTCAAGGATGATGTTAGAAAAAAATGTGATTTAACTAGAACTTGCTGTCTGATGTTAGCAAATCATGGAATGTTCTGAGTCCCCGAGGGTTTACTGTGAAGTGCTGAGGACAGTGTTGACGACTAACTCGTTTTCCTAGATGGAAACGGAGACATTGATCCCTCCCTCCATGTGGTAAACCACTCCAGAATGGCCACCAGGCTTCCCAGAGTTCTATGGTCTTCTTCCCAAGAGAGTTTTTAATTGTAAATGCATACTTGGGAAGGACTTAGACTTTTAAACTGTTTTTTGCTTTTGCTTTTCCCTGACTCCCTTTGCTTGGAGTCAGCTGCACACCAGTAGTATGGCATGCTACGATCAGGTTCTGTCCTGAAAGCTTTGCCTCTTTCTTGGCAAAGTTTCTGGTATGGTCAAGCTTGTAAATAACTTTTTTTACATTTTAATCTTTTCCATTAATTAAGAGGTTGAAAAGAAGTGCAGTGTAAGAAAACCCAGCATTTTAATTACTTGCAAATTAAGTTACCACAGACTCTGTAGTGTGTAAATGTTGACAAGGAATTGGATCACAATCATGTAGCAGAATGGCACCCAGACCACTGCCCACCAGTGACGGACACCCACGTGGCAGATCATGATTTCCAGCCCACGGAGCCAGCATTTGAACCTTGTACAATTAACTTTCAGTTATGATTTCCCATCAACATTTTCTTTGCCCTGTTTGTAGCTGATTGTTGTGTTTTATAAATCTTCTGTTAAAGCAGAAGGGTGATTATGAGTGGGTCACAGCAGCCCTTATAAGCTGGGCCAGAAAATTTCACTAGGTCAGTAATTTAAACTTTGGATCTTCAAAAAATAATAATGTGAAACAAAACCAACTAAAAAGTGATTCTTGCACATGAACTGTCACATGTTTAAAAATGTGTTTTTTAGAGAGCCTCAGTCTTACTGATTTCAAACACTTTTTTCTTCTGTGTATTGCTTTTAAGAGAGCCATCAGTTAGCTATCAGACTCTAGGTTGATGCATTTTGTACTTAGCTGTACTGTGTGATATTTTTCATTATTTTAGGACGCCAACATGAGACCTGTAATAAAATATGTAATGGGGTTGAAAGCTGGGGAGGAGGATCTACTGCTGTACAGCTAATAAATCATAACGGATTAACAAGTGCTTCAAAGACTCCATCTTGCGTGATTCCTGCCTGCTTGAGGGAGGTTGGGGGACTGCATACGTGGTTCCAAGCTGTGCAGGCTGCTGCCTTTCACAGGCAACCTCTGTTCCTGGGATGGTACTTTCTCTAGCAGATGGGAGGATATGATCTTGGCGGGTGACTGGATATTGAGCATATCCTGCTATAACTTTTTTTTTTCTTTTTTTTGAGATGGAGTCTTGCTCCGTTGCCCAGGCTGGAGCGCAGTGGCGCAATCTCGGCTCACTGCAACCTCCGTCTCCTGGATTCACGCCATTCTCCTGCGTCAACCTCCCAAGTAGCTGGGACTACAGGCGCCTGCCACCACGCCTGGCCAATTTTTTGTATTTGAGACAGGGTTTCACCGTGTTAGCCAGATGGTCTCAATCTCCTGACCTCGTGATCCGCCCACCTCAGCCTCCCAAAGTGCTGGGATTACAGGCGTGAGCCACCGCATCCAGCCCCTGCTGTAACTCTCTTAACTCCCCAAAAAGTGTGCTTGAGTACAGGTGAGTAGATGGACGGCAGCCAGCTTCTGTGATCCACTTGAGTAGGTGCCCTGTGCACAGAGTAGATGGGCCATAGAGCTGCTTAGAGTGAAAGGGGCTAATAGGAGGCTCTCAGCATCTCAGCTCAAGGAGGCGTGGGATCAGATGTACCTGGAGCTCTGGCAGGTGTGAGGGAACAGAGAAGCTGGACCCAGCCTGCCCTAGAGAAGTTCATTTGAAAGGAGAGACAGATGCACAACCACCGGGTAGTGAGGAGACTGTCTTAGATAATAGAACTGCCTGTTAGCACCCCAGGAAGGTGGATGGAGTTGGGTCGTGTTTGGAATCTTAGGCGTGACTGAAAAATCATCTTGCTGCTGCTGCTGTTTCTAGGCAGATTGCTTTGGCAAACCCACTTTAGGTGAAAGTTTAAACCACTTACTCGAGTTTTTTAACCAAAATTCCAACTTACAAGTTTTCAATGAGAAGTAACAACAAAATATGTGAAGCTTTTGGCTGCCTAGTGCTGTCCACACAGATGGATCTCCCAGGAAAACAACCCAGGGCCTCCTGGGGCCTCGGGATTCAGCCAGGCAGTGAACTCCTTGCTCTGAACGTTAGTGGTCTCGGTCTGTTGGAGCTTGAATTCCGTCTCCCATCCATGGTTTACCCACCAGGGTACCCACTACCAGTCAGCCAAAACTTTTTTTTTTTTTTGAGACGGAGTCTCACTTTGTCACCCAAGCTGGAGTGCAGTGGCACAATCTCGGATCACTTCAACCTCCACCTCCTGGGTTCAAGGGATTCTCCTGCCTCAGCCTCCTGAGAAGCTGGGATTACAGGCACCCACCACCACACCCAGCTAATTTTTGTATTTTTAGTAGAGATGGGGTTTCACCATGTTGGTCAGGCTAGTTTCGAATTCCTGACCTCAGGTGATCCGCCCGCCTCAGCCTCCCAAAGTTCTGGGATTACAGGCATGAGCCACCACACCTGGCCCCAACTTTTTTTTAATTCCAAGTTTTTTTTGAGACAGGGTCTCACTGTCACCTAGGCTGGGATGTGGTGGCACAAACAACTCACTGTGACCTCGAACTAGGCTCAAGCAATCCTCCTACCTCAGCCTCCTGGATAGCTGGGACTACAGGCCATGCCATCACACCTGGCTCATTTTTGTTTTGTTTTGTTTTTTTTAGTTTTTTTGTAGAGATAGGGTCTTGCTATGTTACCCAGGCTACTCTCACACTCCTGGACTGAAGTGATCTTCCTGCCTCAGCCTCCCAAAGTGCTGGATTATAGGCATGAACCACCATGCCCAGCCACCTAAGCATATATAACCTTTTTGCAGAACAACGAGGCTCAGTTTTTCAACACCGCCTGTCATTCCTGATTGTACGTATTCTGTTTGAAAGGTGTTTGTTTGTTTGTTTTGAGATAAGAGTCTCTGTCTGTTGCCAGGCTGAAGTGCAGTGGCACGAGCTGGGTTCACTGCAACCTCTGCCTCCCAAATTCAAGCGATTCTCCTGCCTCAACCTCTGCAGTAGCTGGGAATACAGGCGCATGCAACCACACCTGACTAATTGAATTTTAGTAGAGACGGAGTTTCACCGTGTTGGCCAGGATGGTCTCCCATCTCCTGACCTCATGATCCGCCCACCTCGGCCTCCCAAACTGCTGGGATTACAGGCGTGCACCACCACTCCCGGCCCTCTGTAAGTGGATTTGTTTTAGCTTGGGAGGGGGCAAAAGAATTGACATTGTGGGGGAGTTAAGGCTGAAAAGGGATCCTCCTGCTGCATAGCCCAGGATGCATCCTGTCTGACCCTTAATTATAAAACCTTTAGCAGCAGAAGCCAGTTTTGTTACTGCACCCCAGAGAACTGTTGACGGGGAAGTTCCTGAACCCGCGTGCAGCTCCCTCACTGTTAAGCCACAGAAGTAAAGAATCTATGCCCTTTTCACCCCTGGGCTGGCATCACCACCCTATTGCTGCCCAGCTCAGCAAGTACCTGAGCTCTTCTCTGGCTTGTCAGGACCTGGTCTTCGAAAATCATCTGAGGTGAACCTTGTGGCAGCACCAAGGGGGCGTAGCCCGGCCCACCTAGGAGGCAAGTCTCGTCCTCAGCCTGTGCTACCCAGAACAGGCAAGGCTAATACTCTCAGGAGCTTTGGCATTTCCTGAACGCCCATGGAGTAACATGCCATCCAGAACACAGAGGGGCTTGAACAAGCTGACAACTTCTCATTGAGTCACTGTCACTTGTAAGTACTGAGTCCCATGTGTTCACTTGGTCTCTGAGATCAGGTTTGCTGTGTTACTACCGCCCTGACTGCCACCAGCCACGTGGCTAGTCCTGCAAGCCTGGCCTGATTTCTTAGTTGTCCCTGCCTGCCCCCATGTGCTCACACACACAGGGACTGGCCCCACTGGCGTCGCTGTAGCCTCCAGAGGCCCTCCACCTGGGCATGACTCCAACCCTTTTGGCAGTCACTCTCATCTTTCCTCCTTGTCATTCTAAACAGAAAAATCCCAGTGAGGTGGATTTTCTGTCATTCCGTTTTGGAATCCCTGGGTTGTCATGGTAGACTTGGCAAATGTGAGTGTTATCTGAGTGCCAGGCACTGTTGTGGGCACTTCCCTTAATAAACATTGATGGCCGGGCGCGGTGGCTCAAGCCTGTAATCCCAGCACTTTGGGAGGCTGAGACGGGCGGATCACAAGGTCAGGAGATCGAGACCATCCTGGCTAACCCGGTGAAACCCCATCTCTACTAAAAAATACAAAAAACTAGCCGGGCGAGGTGGCGGGCGCCTGTAGTCCCAGCTACTCGGGAGGCTGAGGCAGTGGCGTAAACCCGGGAGGCGGAGCTTGCAGTGAGCTGAGATCTGGCCACTGCACTCCAGCCTGGGCGACAGAGCGAGACTCCGTCTCAAACAAATAAATAAATAAATAAAAATAAACATTGAATCCTTAGAGCAAGGCTTGAGGTTAGTTAATAGCTCCGGCTTACAAACAAAACTGGAAGACCAGAAAGGCTAAGTAACATGTTAGGTGTCATCTAGGCAGTGTGCCTGCAGAATCTGCTTTTTTTTTTTTTTTTTTTTTTTGAAATGGAGTCTTGCTCTGTCACCCAGGCTGGAGTCCAGTGGTGAGATCTTGGCGCACTGCAACCTCTACCTCCTGGACTCAAGCAATTCTCGTGCCTCAGCCTCCCCAGTAGCTGGGACTACAGGTGCTCATGACCACGCTCAGCTTTTTGTATTTTAGTAGAGACAAGGTTTCACCATGTTGGCCAGGTTGGTCTCAAACTCCTGAGCTCAGGCGATCCACCTTGGCCTCCCAAAGTGCTGGGATTATAGGCATGAGCCACTACACCTGGCCAGAACCTGCATTCTTGGTTCCTTGGCAGTACTGTGTGAGACCTACTGAATTGTCACCCTACAAGCAGTTTGAGGGTTCTGTGTGGTCTTCGAGCCTTAGATTTTAATCCAAATTATGTCTGTTCGTGGCCAGGCATAGTGGCTCACACCTGTAATCCCAGCACTTTGGGAGGCTGAGGTGGGCGGATTGCCTGAGGTCAGGAGTTGGAGACCAGCCTGACAAACATGGTGAAACCCCATCTCTACTAAAAATACAAAAATTCGCTGGGTGTGGTGGCACGTGCCTAATTCCAGCTACTTGGAAGGCTGAGGCAGAAGAATTGCTTGAACCCGGGAGGCAGAGGTTGCAGTGAACCAAGATCTCTCCACTGCACTCCAGCCTGGGCAACAAGACCAAAACTCTGTCTCTAAGAATAATAATAATAATTAGCCTGGGCATGATGGTGGGCGCCTGTAATCCCAGCTACTCAGGAGACTGAGGGAGGAGAATCGCTGGAACCTGGGAGGCAGAGGCTGCAGTGAGCCAAGATTGTGCCACTGCACTCCAGCCTGGACCACAGAGCAAGACTCTGTCTCAAAACAAACAAACAAACAAACAAACCAAGTATGTCTCTTCAATCGGGAAGGCAGCAGGAACTCTCTGTGCAGCATCTTCTCCAGCTGACTCCTCCCTGTCACCCTTAGCTGTCTTTTCACCTCCACCTTGCTGAGCTACGGGCAGGGTAGACTGCTGATCCTTACCGCTTAAGTGGAGTTTAGATTGTAATAGAAGAAAAAAAAATGCAGCCTCTTCCTGTGAACCTTCCAGAATCTAGGTCCTGGTCTTTTAGAGGGCAACAGGCTAGCAGGCCCTACCCCATAACTGTCTGACCCCTCTCAGCCCTGGAGACACTAGCTTATCTCTCTCTCTGGCTGCCCCTCCCAAACTCTGTCCAGCTTGGGGAGAAGGCAGACACAGGAAGACCCCCCATGTACCTGGAGGACTCACTCCGGCCCTCTATGAAGTGCTTGGGGTTCAGGACTCAGCCCCAGGCTGCCCCCTTGAAGGCCCCAGGTACACCCTCATCTTCAGCCCTGACCTCACCACTGCCGGCAAGGAAGGGCGCTGGACCCATCAGGCTTTTTTTTTTTTTTTTTTTTTCCAGACAGGACCTGGCTTTGTCACCCAGACTGGAGTATAGTTGTGCAATCTCCGCTCACTACAACCTCTGCCTCCCAAGCTCAAGCGATCCTTCCATCTCAGCCTCCCAAGTAGCTAGGATTACAGACACACGCCATCACACCGGCTAAGTTTTAATTTTTTTTTTTTTTT